GGGGAAGCTGCCTCCAGGGATCTCGCAGCTTTGGCTGATGATCGGAGGCCACCCCTGCAGGCTCTCTTGCTCATCTCTTGCCAGACAGTGGAGACCAGGTGACTCAGCTGCTCAGGGTCATCGTGTCCACCACCTGCTCCAGCTTGCTCCGGAGCCGCTGCCGCCGAGCCTGCTCATCCTTCTCCAAAGCTGTCAGGATCTGTGGAGGCCAGTGGGGGAATTAGCGGGCTTGGCCGGGGCCACCACTCATGTGGGACCAGTACATCAATGCTTGGAGGGTTGTACACAATAGGCGTGTGACATGGCCATGGCCAGCAAGGGTTCTGGAGCAGATGCCCAATTCTATCCCTTCCATTCCCAGGTAAGAGACCTGGGTTTTCAGCCTGGAACCCCAGAACCCCAGTGGGAAGGATGAGTACCCCTGGTCACTATTCCTAATCTCAACCCCCAAAACACCAGCCTCAAATTAGGGCTCTGGTCATAGCCAGCCCTTCATGTCCGTTCTCCTTGGTGCAGTTCCCCATCTACTGATGGGAGCAGGGCCTGGCCACCCAGGGTGCGGATGTGCTGCCACCCTCTGGAAGACCCCTCTATACTGCAACTCAGCCTGCTGCTTCCAGCCCCCCAGGAAACAGGGGCACCTCAAGCTCACACTCTCAGTTCCTGCTGGCACATCAGCCCCCTGGTATATGTCCACACTGCCATCTTGCTCCACCCCATGACCTCAGTCTCTTTGCACCCCTTTATAGTGGAGCTCCTCAGAGAACCTCTAGATGGCTTTAAAGTCCCCAACCCCCAGGCAGTGTCACCAGGTCACCCAAGATCACCCTTCTTGGCCCCAGGGTATGGCCCATTCCCTTCCTGCTCTGGACTCACCTCCAGGGCCGCCTCCTCCAATCTCTGCTAAAGGCCCTCTGTTCAATGCTAACCCCTACAACCTGACGCTGGAACCCAAGTCTCTCCTGAGTCCTAGTTCCACTCCCATTAAAGTCTAAGGCAGACTTCTCGAACTTCCTCACCATCCGTTTCTTACTCAGCCTCAAGTCTGGAGTCACACCCCATAGCTAGTTGGATCAGCAAGTCCTGGCCCTTCCCACACACGACCCAATACCACAGCTACGGCCCCTAGGCGGTCCCTGCCTCCCCCGCCCTGGGTACCCAAAAGTCAGATCATCATTCAAGGCCTACACACTCAGTGACAGGCCCTTTGCTTCAACCTCGCCTCCCCTTCCACCTGGCATGGCTCTAATTTAATGTTGTGGCCTCCACAGTCCTGCAGCTGGGCCCACTCTGGGCTCAGAACCTTGGCAGTGGCCATGCCTGTGCCTGTCCTGCCTCTCTGGCCCTGTGTGCCCAATTTAGCCCATGAGTCAGTCCCCCTTCCTTAGACGTCTCAGGGAGCCCCAGCTCTGTGCAAACAGATGGCAAGGAGGCCTCCTAAGGTCTTACTCCAGGTCAGCAGAAAAGACATTAAAGAAGGAAGGGTCTGCTGCCCTATCCTGAAGATGATCAACCACATAATGGGCCTTCAGGGAATAGCCACTCACTAACCCATGTTCTCCACCTCAGGAAGCCACTGACATCTGCTCCCCAACACCCCCTACTCTGAAAGCAGGCTCCCTGACCTGCTGCAACCCAGCCCGACGACCCTGCTAGGCCTGGTGGGCAGTCACAACAGCACTAAATGCCTGTCCCAGCAAGTGAGGTGGCCAGTGGGGGTACAGAGCAGAGAAGGCAGGCTCCTGGCCAGCCTAGAGGCCTGGGGAGAAGCGGGTAGAGGCGGGTGGAGGTGACAGAAGGGCCCCAGAGAGGGAGCCCTGTTTGGCAAGGTCTGGTGTGAGGCTGAGCAGGGCTATGTGTAACAGGCCTGGGGTGAGGCCAGTGGCCAGTGTGTGTGCTCACCTCGTCCTTGTACTTGGTGATATAGGAGTAGATCTCATGCAAGGCGCTCATGCTATTGAACTGGCTCAGGTGTAGCCGCGACTGCTCGGCCAGGTATGCACTCATATCCTGGTCGCTGATGGCAGGCATCTTGGCAATGTCAGCATAGTACCTGCAGGCATACAGCAGGTCGGGGATGTGAGCTGAGTCCTGGTCCTCAGCCCGCCGCCTACCTGCTGCATGCTCGCCTCACCTTTCCACCCAGCTCTTATAGTTGGGGATGTCCTTGGCGTAGAGCAGCTTGTTGGAGGGTGAGTCCTTGCCCAGCTTGTGCTCGGACGTGGAACAGGAGTCCATGAATGTCTGGGCCACCACCGACAGGCAGGCATCTGTGATACTGCTCTTGTGGATGTCAAACACGAACTGTGGGTTCTTGATCACGTTCACCCAGAAACGCAGGGGCAGGCTGTGGGCGGGCAGGCCAGATGCATGATCAGACACGGCTGTAGTACCCCTTCCAGACAGCACAGGAAAGGGGCCAGTCAGCAGCCTCATAGCTTGCTTGGTACCAGCATTCACAGTGGCCATGAATTTCCTGAGGAAACTGAGACCCAGATAGGGGTGTCTCCTGCCACTCACACTCCTGGAAGGCAGTCCCTCCCCATGATCACATGCTTAGATGCACACTTACACACAGTTACACCCCTGCGTTTGCCCAGGAAGGGCTCTAGGAGACACATCCCCATAGACAGCTGACCTCTGTGCCCAAAATGACGCTCCTAAGACAGCCATCAACTGGGTTATCTAATAGCCACGAGCCACATGTAGCTGTTTAAATTGAAATTAAATAAAGTTAATTCAGAGTCTTAGCTGAAGTAGTCACGTGTCAAATGCTCAGTAGCCACACATGGCCAGCGGCCACTACTCTCGACAGCACAGATCAAGAACATTCTGTCATTGCAGAGAATTCTGCACAGTGCTGACCTAGATGATGCTGGTTCCTCTGCTGCATCCGTGGAACCCCTTCAAGGCCCACAGGCAGCACAGGTGAAGCTAGAGGCCCAGAGCTGGTAGCATTTAGTGGCAGCATTTAGAGGCCAGAGTGCTGGGAAGGGTGAGACTACCATGGGACCAGGAACAAAGAAGAAAGAGGCACAGGAAGTTCTCTGAAGATGGGCATGTAGTCAGGCTCAGGGAGAGAAAGCCAGACTGGGCAGCAGCTGCTAGTAGGCTGGATGCTGGTTACCTTGAGGGGTGAGAGTGTCAAAGTATTTGCTGTCACCACCACTGTCATGCTCATCACTGCCAATGGCTGGTATGAGCCTGGCCCACCAAGCCCATTTCTCACACCTGCGCATGCCATGCGCACCCAGGGACACACAAAGCACACGTGGGTGAAAACACACATGCACGCAGGCATGCATACACCCAGCTCCCAAAGGGAGTCCTCCAAGTTGAAGCAGAGGTCATGCCTAGACCTGGAACACAGGAGGCAGTGGATGCCTCCAGATGAGTGAGTTGGGAAGGCCCACCTAAAGAAGGGCTGACCACAGCAGGGAGACAGCGAATCCAGGCCAGCCATTCCCTTTGCCCATTAGAACAGGGCCTCCTGCAGTAACTCAGGCCCCGCCTTGCCTGGCTGTGCCCCAGTGCCTCACCTGGCCCCACTACCACGTCCCCCCCACTCCCCCATAGGTACCAGTTGCTCTTCCAGGTGTGGCGCACATCCGAGTCATGTATTTGGTGCTGGTCAGCTTGCTCGTCCAGGAAGTCGAACATATACTTGATGGCCAGCGGCAGGGCCGAGCCTCGGTGTGCTGTGCTAAAGATGGTCTCAAACAGGTCATCCACAAACTTCTGCAGCGTGCCCTGCAAATAGGAGAGGTTACAGAGACCCAAGGCACCACTGGCAGCCCCTCACCTCCTGGGTGACCTGGGCAGCCGAATGTGCCACCCCCACATCCTTGCCGCCTGCCCACCCAGGCCTACCTTGGTGGCCAGCAGCCGTGTCAGGTAGATCTCCGAGACCATCTTGCTGCCGCGGTCACCCTCACGCTGGTCTAGGTGGTCGTGGTTCTTCACCAGGTGCCATAGCTTGGTGCCGCTCTCCAGATCAGGTGTGATCATGGGTGTGCGCGAGCGCAGGCTGTCAGGACTACTGGCCGTGCGCAGCATGCTCTCTGCAGGCACCATGCCATCAGCTGGCAGGCCTACTGCATCCAGCACCCACACCTCACCCTGGCCCTGGCTAGGAGGCCGTGGGCTAGCAGCTCCTCTATCTGACCCTCAGTTTCCATATCTGAAAACTGGGGTCTTCAGTCCACCTTGCTGGGTGGGAGGGGACAGAAGGGAACACACTATGTGTGGGTGTGCCTGTAGGGAGAAAGGTGCAGCCTCCAAATTAGAGGAAAGGCCAAGTATCCAAGTGACAGGCCGTGATGTGGCCCCTCCCAGCCTTTGCATGGCCCTGCTGCAAAAGGGCCCAGGGGAGGCATCCTGCCCAGGTCAGTGAGCCATGCCCGCTGCCCCCAACTGGCTCCTCACCATATCTGCTGAGGGACTTGGTGAAAGTGGACGAGTTGGAGATGTTGTAGGCAGATGTCTGCTTAGGCACCAGCGCCACTGAGGACCCATCTGTCACCTGTGGGCAGAGGGTTGGGAGATGCATAACCTATTACTGGGAGCCCTAGTGATAGCCCCAGCCCTTCTGGGTATGATGCCTGGAGGCCAGTCACCTCACCACTCAGTTCCTCACTGGTGCACCTCCAAGGCTATTAAGACAACCAGATGGGTCAAGTGCAGGGCCCAGGAAGGATACACCCGTTCCCTTTTCTCTCTGACATTTGTCATCCACCAATAGCCAGGCCTGGACACCAGCTTCTGCACTGCCCTGGAGCTCTGAGGAAACAGGCTGGGCCATGGCCAGAGGGTGGGAAGTCTGGGGTCACCTGATAGTGAGCCAGCGTGTTCAGCCTCTTCCAGTCATTGTCGATCTTGGTGGTGACATCTTCATCCTGTAGGATGATGCGTGCCATGCGACCCTGGCGCCACTCTGAAGGGAAGGGGAGCACTGAGGGTTCGGACCATAGGCAGGTGCCTCTGCTGCCCCCTCCTTTCTTGGTCTCACCTCTCAGCCCCAAGGAGCACAGGCATCCTGGGGGTACTTGGTGCAGGGCCTTCAACAGCAGAATAATTAAGGGACAAGGCTACCCTCCCTCTGAGCAGCTCTCATCCTTGCTCAGAGCAAGAAGCATATGCCCCTGCAGTTAAGCCCTGTGACCTGCTACAGCAGCTGCCCCACCCCAGGCAGCCCAAACCCCGTGTAACGCCCTGCCTTCAAGTTCTAGGAAGCTCTTCCAACTCCTCAGCCTGGCATTTGAGGCCTCCATGGTGGCCCCCTCCAGCTCTCTAGCCAAACCTACCATAGGACTCTCCGGCTCTAGACCTACTATGCTTCCTCTGGCCCTCCCTAGCTCTATGGGTACCCCCACCTGCCTGGGTCATGAGCCACAGCACCGTCTCCAATGGCCCATCCTCCTCCTAGAGTACATGAGAACTCCAACTCCAGCTTCTCCCCTGGACAGGGCGGCTCCTAAGCATGCTCCCTGATTCCATTCTCTACTCCAACCTGGCTCGCCCACATCCAGAGCACAGCCCAGATCACATCCCTTCCCTCAAGCCCTCCTCAACATACCCCCTGCCACATGGCCTCCAGAAACCTCCACCAGAGCTCAGTGGCAGGCCTGGACCAGGAGACTCTGCTTGGACTTCTCTAGCTAAGCCCATTACCTGTGGCCCCCCAGAAATGTCCGCTGGTGCTGCCCCTTTCCTGGGCTACATACCTGGGCATGGGCACTGCCCAGAGCTCCAGCACAGCCATGCTACCGTGAGAGCCTCTCTCATGCTCACCTAGGTCCATGTCCCCAGCCTTGGGCCGCTGGGAGTAGGGTACGCCCTTGTACACAGCATCTAGCAGCTTCTCCTTGACCTGCGTCACCGTGTCGCAGTTCAGTCCCTTCACCGGAACCTCAGGTGCGTTCTCATTCTCAGGGTTCACACAGTTCAGGGTCTGGGGGTGGGGAGGGGTGCAGCATCAGCCCCCACCTCTCACTTGTCAGGTGTCAGGTACACGGGAGAGTGTGAAGGGGGCAGGGCAGGATGCTGGCCCGTGCTCACCAGTGTCTTGTAGTCAATCTGCTGCCGGATGAGCTTGTCCTCGCTCAGGGAGTAGCGGGCCTCACCCGTGATGGCGTCAATGGGGCCCTTCTCCATCTGCTGCTTGATGGCGCAGTACAGCATGAACAGCGGCTCCCCCGCGCACTCCTGTGGCCGTAGCAGGTGGGTGGGCGTTAGGTGGCAGCCAGGACCGCCAGGGGCTTCCACTCCTGCCCACCTACTCCCACCCTTCCAGGGCCTCTGCACCTTTCCCACAAGGAGAAAATGAGTAATATTTCCAAATTCTTTTAAGGAGGCAAGTTCTACTTCCTGGTTGCAGAGCCCAACAAAGACTATGCAAGTGAATAAATAAGTTAAACAGACCCATGGCTCCTATGAATGTTGATGTGAAAAATCCCAATGAGATTTGCTAAGGCAAGAAGAGCTGGGAGTATATCAGAGGAGAACACGAGGTGGCCAAGCGGGGTTAAGGGGGCAGGGCAGGATGCTGGCCCGTGCTCCCCAGTGGCTTGTAGTCAATCTGCTGCCGGATGAGCTTGTCCTCGCTCAGGGAGTAGCGGGCCTCACCCGTGATGGCGTCAATGGGGCCCTTCTCCATCTGCTGCTTGATGGCGCAGTACAGCATGAACAGCGGCTCCCCCGCGCACTCCTGTGGCCGTAGCAGGTGGGTGGGCGTTAGGTGGCAGCCAGGACCGCCAGGGGCTTCCACTCCTGCCCACCTACTCCCACCCTTCCAGGGCCTCTGCACCTCTCCCACAAGGAGAAAATGAGTAATATTTCCAAATTCTTTTAAGGAGGCAAGTTCTACTTCCTGGTTGCAGAGCCCAACAAAGACTATGCAAGTGAATAAATAAGTTAAACAGACCCATGGCTCCTATGAATGTTGATGTGAAAAATCCCAATGAGATTTGCTAAGGCAAGAAGAGCTGGGAGTATATCAGAGGAGAACACGAGGTGGCCAAGCGGGGTTTATGCCAACAAAGACCAAAGCCCTGAAATCTTCCCAGCTCGGGCCTCAGCAGGCCTACTGCCCTAGTCCCCAGCTGACTCCCCAGCATCCCACTTGCCAGAGACTGACCGAGGTACGAGCACTGCACTGTGGAAGAACCTCCGGGCTGTGGTCCCACCCCCATAGCATGGGTGAACTGTGAGCCATAAACCCTAGGCATGACCTCGATCTGGTGGTTGTCAGGGCCCACCCAACTGGGACCCCCGCCCCTGCAGACAGAAGGCTGCTCCCCGCAATTACTCGAGGTGCAGAGGTACCAATCCAGGGCAGCTCTTCAGCACTGAAGGGTATAGGAATCAAGTCAAGGCCATGGAGTGGTCCCTGGGCACTCGGTGAAGGTCTGCTCTGTCCATGCTCTCAACCGCTGCTCCCAACACTACAGCCACAAAAGCTGCCTCCTGTTCCTCCAACCACTTAGTATCTCACTTCAGGGCCTTGGCACCTGCTGTCCCTAGAAAAATCTCTCTCTCAGGTCATCACTGGCCCTTCCAGACTCCACCCAATGTCCCTTCTCAGAAAGGCTCTCCATGACCACTAGGTCAAAGCTGCTAGCCCGCATCGCAATCAGGGCCCTGCTACAATCCCTGGTTCCTGTCGTTCTCTTTGCCGCCATCTACCCACCGGAGTGAAATCTGCCGGGGGGCCAAGACATGGTTGGCTCATCCACATCATCTCTCAACACCCATCACAGAGCCTGTGCATGTGCAAGGCTCCAGACACTGCTGAACAACAAATGCCATGAATGGAAAGAGGCTCATGTCCTTACATCAAAGTGAAGAAAGTCGACGTCAGAGCTGGCCAGTCCTATCTGCCCCAGGACTGCTCACAACTGCAGGCGCCATGCCTCAGGGGGCCAGGATTGCTGCATCCCCTGCACAGGCGAGGCCCCACCTAAGCGTGGGCACAGGGTCCTTTGTCGCCTTGGCTGCCTGATAGAGTTCAAGTGTGCCCCAAGCAGGCAGCATGCTGGCCTCTCCCCCGTGCCCCTGGCACAGAAACAGGAGCTTTGCCCAATAACCAGTTGCCATGGGCACCTTGTTAGCATCTACAATAATTAAAGAGACAGCCCAAGACTCTCCAACAACATGTCTCCAGAATTGGGGGTGGATGGCTCAGTCCTTTATACTCATTTCTGTGCTGTTTAGATGTGCTAAAATGAGCATGGATGACTTTTTTAGTTAAATTTTTTTGTTTGTTTCTAAAGACAGCAATGAATTAAAGGGATTTGGGTTGTTTAAAAACAGTGTGTGGCGGTCTAAAAAGAAGTGAAAGAAGCCAATCTGAAAAGGCTACAACTGAATGATTCCAACTACCAGACATTCTGGAAAAGGCAAAACTGTAGACACAATAACATATCAGCGGTTGCCAGGGGTTAGAGGGAAAATGGGGTGAACAAGTGGAGCCCAGGGGACTTTTAGGACAGTGAAACTTCTCTCTGATATTGTAATGGTAGGTCCATGTCATTATACATTTGTCCAAATGCACAGAATGTTCAACACCAAGAGTGAATCTCACATAAACTATGGACTTTGGGAGATAATGTTATGTCAGCGTAGGTTCATCGATTGCAACCGATATACCACTCTGGTGGGGGATGTAATAATGGGGAGGATATAAGGGGGTACGAGGTATATGGAAAATCTCTAACTGCTGTTCGATTTTGCTGTGAATCTAAAACTGCTCTAAAAATGGCAGCTCTCACTCAGCCACTCTGCCTGCGAAATCCTGCACCAGCTATACTTACTCCATTTCCTGCAGCTTGACCCTCCACTCAGCCTTACACAGAATACAGCCCAACCCAGGTCCTCAAACTGGGTTTGTCAAGCTGAGTTTCTCAGCCTGTGAGACTCAGGAGCAGACAGAGGTAGATACAGATAAGACAGCTCAGACCCAGCAGTCGTGTTCTCTAAACCTTGCTTCTACTGGCTTTCTGAGTGCAATTTAACGAGCATGTAAATATGTCACACACAGTCTCACAAAAACTTACAGGAAATGCCCAACTTCATGTTATTGGCTCCCAGCTCTGCACAACGAGAACCCCAGCATTTACTGGACACTCTCCAGGGGCCTGGATTCTGGGATTGCTGAACCACCTCCAGTGGCAGCACTCCTCCGATGAGCCCCACCACAGTCCACCTCCCATGCCCCACACTGGACCTCATGCCCACCTCAGGGCTGTTACTCCCTCTGCCTGGCTAACTCCGTCCTTTCCTTCATGCCCTTATTCAAACCTCACCCACCCTCTCAATATCCACATCTTTCTCACATATCCTAATTCCCATTTGTCCTCTCTCTCCCCAGCCAGGCAGGACTCTCCTCTGGGCATCTTTAAGCCAAGGGAGCCTGGGCCCAGCAGCATTCTTCATGAAGGGCTGAAGGTCCCATAGGCTTTCCCTGATTCAGTAAGGACACAGGAAGCAGAGATCCACAGCTAAGAAGCAACCACAGGGAGATTCAGACCCACCCTCAGCCACTTAGGCTCCACTGCCCATCACCATGTCTGTCCACAGAGCATCTACTAAAGTCAGAGGTCAGGGGGCCCTGCCACTGCCACAATGAGAGAACATCTGCCAAGCTTTCAGATTTCAAGGGAAACCATACAGTAGTGTCTAAACGATCTCCCATTTTCGAAGTGCAGGTGACTAGTCCAACTTCTTACGTATGGCCCAAACAGGATCCACCTGGACTCATATCTATCCTGAAACTGCAATTTGTACTCTCTGGTCCCTACCCCATTCTGAGGACAGCCACAAGTCTCCAGGGCCCATCTTCTGGGGATGACGGGCTTCCCCCATCCTGAGCAGGTGCTTGTTTGTGCAAGCCTTCCTTACAAGGGTCAATAGGAGCCCCAAGATGCCTCCCCACGGTAACTCAACACTGGGTGCTAGACACACAGAGGTCCCCACTCAGAGTTCTCCTCCATCCTTAGCTCCAGGCCATGGGCACAGTGCAGAAACCTATATATGTATCTAACGTCTAGCTCAGCTGAACACTGGTCATGAAACCTGAGACAGCTTGCTTTACAGCTGGGGTGTCCATTCTTGCTGGGTGAAGCCTGGACAGCCTCAAGGAGAGTCAGGAAAGGGGCCAAGAGGTGCACATCCTGGGAGAGTCCACGCTGAGCCTCCAGCCTCCTCTGAGCCACTTTGGCCTTAGACTGCATATGTCCGTACATCTCTGATCTCCTGTTTCCCTTGTACCCGTCCATCTGCCCAACACCCCCTCAGCATCCTCTCCTCCCCAGCCCACCTACCTTGAGAAATTTGTACAAAAGGAAGGTGAACCAGTTGGTCAGCATCTTTTCTGCCACTGACTCGGTCCTGGAGACAGACATGGGCAGAAGTGACATAACTCCCACTGCCAGGCCTACCTACCATGACCACCCCACCCAGTTCCTGCAGCACTGAAGGTCAGGCCTTAAAAGGCACTCATGGGGGCTGGGTGGCTAGAGGGTTGCTGTGGACATCCCAGCCTTTGGCACTGGAACAGGTCTCTAAGAATGACTCAGGCCAAACACTGATGGCCCCAGACGAAGCATGCCCCAGAGTGGGCCCCATGCCCAACATGTCTGGTCACCACTATTAACATCTGGTCAGAGGAAGCTGAGGCTTCCCTTAGAACTGCAACAGCAGCGCCTCTGGGGCGGGTACCCAGCAGGGCCTCTGGCGTCTGCAGGTAGGAGGTGTGGGCTCACCGCCGTAACAGCAGCTTCGGGTGGTTCTTGCTTTCCAGGTTCTTCTCAATGAGGTCGGAGAGCAACTGCTTGAGCACTCCTGTGGCATACTCCATCTCACCCTGCAGTGCCGTCATGATGAGCGAGGCCACGTTCCCACGGTCACGCATGGAGAAGCTGCGCTGCGCTTCCAGCGTGCGGATGAAGGTCAGCAAGAAATGCTTTTTGGTCAGCAGCTGCCCAAACAGCGTCAGTGATTTCTCCACGTTGGCCTGCACCTGGTGAGAACAGGCGCCTGCTCAGACCCACACTGGGGCATCCAGCACTGTCACAAGAGGTAGGGGCTGGGAAGATCTTTTGGTCAAGGAGTTGTCCAGGTCAGGTGTACAAAGGTAGAGCAGGGACAGAGAATAGGCCTCTGAGGTGCATGACATGTCACCCTGACAAGTGTCCAGACCCCAACTGTCCTCAGCAGAATGGATGTAGCCTAGTATCTACCTGAGAAGCCCACTGCGGGCAGAGACCCTGGCATACCAGCATCAGTGAACTGCGGGCAGAGACCCTGGCATACCAGCATCAGTGAGAGGTGCAGAATGAGGGCCTGCTCCTGCCTCCCTCTCTGTGGCTGGAGAAGTGAGAAAAAGAAGTAGAATGCAGTCTGGCTCTAGGGCTTCTGCTCTCTCTATCTGTACCAAAGCTTATCAGGACAGGAGGTTCCCTAACAGGCAGACAGGTGACAGGTCCCAGGTAGAACACAGTAAGAGCTAAGAGAGCAGCTGGACCAACACAACAGATAGCAATAATCCCTAGGCCAAAGCCAGAGTGAGGGGAAAGTCCATTCAAGTTCAGCTTGAGAGGGAACATCCCACCAATGGAACTGTATGGCGAGCAGGCCCTCCACCATGCAAGGTATGCAGAGAAGGGATAACCTTAGGTAGATAGCATGACGCAGCCGACTTACAGAGTCCCTGGCTATTTCTAGCTGGGACCTGGGCTCCTGGACTGCTTTGGGGGACTCCCAGAGGATAGGGGAGCTAGCCTTCTTCCCCCTGGCAGGCTTGTGCCAATGTCTGTGGAAGAAAGCCCAGCTCTCCCAGGGCCTTCGTGCTGTGTCAGCCACGTGCTCCCACCCCAAATAGCCACAGAAACTCCAGCTAGGCACCCACACCTCCCAGCATACATGGCCCAGGCCCCTGCCCAGTAAAGCTTAGCATTGAGAACCACCCAGGAGATAGGCCAGGTGAGCTACAGGGGGTCCAATATGGACTAGAAGGTCCCACAAAATGAAGGCTGCCAGAAGGAGCCCAGCCACTGAGGTGGTTTGCTAGGATGAGGTCCCCCTGCCCCAGGCTCTCCTGCCCCAGGCCCCTGCCAGCCCTCCCTCTTTGCTTCCCAGCATCCCTCTCTACAGGCTTGGGCTATCCCTCAGACCCTCCAGCTGCCTGCCAGCACCCAAGGAGCCCTGAAGGCAGACAAGGAGTGAGCCCCAGCCAGCAGCAAACCTCCATCTCCTTGAGCACCGGGTGGTCTTCAATCCCAGGGAAGAGCACCCGCATGGCGTATGTCCTATAATCGAGGAAGGGGATGCCAGCGCCATCCAGGTCATTGGTCAGCTCGTGAATGTCCGTCTGAAGCTCTGCAAAGGCTGTGGCCAGACGAAGTATTAAGGCAGGTATCCCATTAGCCCCCAGAACCCCAACTCAGGTTGGCCTCAAACCTTCGTTCTACTGTTCACTGGTTGGGTGACCTGTTTTTGCCTCAGTTTCCTTAGCCCTAACAGAGGGATAAAAACCCCTCTGTCATAGGATTAGCCAAGACAAGAACAGAGGAGATACTGGGACCGGGTCCTGGCTGAGAATGGCCCCTGTACCTCAAACTGGAATTTTAGGGTAGAGTAACTAGGGGTGCTGACTCTTCCACCACCTAGGGGCTCCTGCTGCCCACCCTGACTCCCCTAGACTGAGCTGCCTGGGAAAAGAAGGGGTGTGGCCAGCTGTGGGAGGCAGAGGGAAGCAGGGTTCCAGGGGCTCAGGGGCTATGGGCTCTCCTCAAGCCCCTCAATCCTCCAAACTGACTACTGCCACATGCAAAATCAAGCTAGCCCTACACTACCTGCCCATTCCAGGCAGCTCTGCCTTTTTCAGAAACAAAGGTGGGCAGGGACAAGCCCTGATGGAATATTCCAGAACTGTGAGAAATCGATTCTGCAGCAGTCCAAGGGATGTGCTATCTGATCAGGAGCCAGAGGAGCGCTTGGCGGGCTCTGGGAGACGGCTGGCAGGTTTAATCAAGAGCCAGGCCTTCATCTCTTGGGCACGGCTGCCAGGAGTCTGGTTATCTCCACCTGGAGGCCCTGGAGTGCCCACCAGCTGCTGCACCTGTGCATGTGCTGGCAGATAAAAGCTTTGCATGCACCCACCTCAGCAGGCAGTCATCCTTACCCTGATAGAGGCCCCGAGCTGCAGAATTCCCTTCCTGGCCCCTGCATACCTGGCTGCATCCCATCATGACTGCCCAGTGGTCAGACAGGTTTATCTAGGACAGGGGCCTTCCAGGACAGGCAGGGACTAGGCAAATGGACCCCCTGGTCCCAGTAGAGTTAACAACCTGATGCCAGGCCTGTCATGGGCATGAGGCCATCACGCAGTGGTCCAAATCCCACCCTATCACTTAGCTCTCTTTCCTCATCCAAAAATGGAAATACTGCTGGTGTCTGCCTTCTAGAGCCGTGAGCAATCACTAGTTAATATCTGCAGAACGCTCAAGGGCATGCCTGGCATCTCAAAAACATCCCATAACTGTCAATTTTCATCAGTGCCGCTCTGTTCACCACTCATAAAGCCCCAGATACTCAGATGAGGCTCCAAGAGGCACACAGAGAGCCCAGAACCATGAGTAGGTGAGGGCTACCCCAGGAAGATCTGACACTGGGGACCTTGCCCTGAGATGCCATCTCACACCCAGCCAGGGAAGCCAACCACCATGGGCCAAGACTGCTGTCTGCTGCCTAAAGCCCACAGGCATGCATGGCAGCTGAACCCAACACTCAGGTGGACATGGCTGTCCACGGCCCACAGCCCCAGCCCCAGCCCCAGCACCCTGATGCCAGCACTCAGGCCCACACACCCAGCCAAGAGAGGTGCCCTCAGCTCTGCCAGGGATAAGCTGGGCCTTGGGAACACTGGCTTTCCTGAGGCACAACAGGCAGAGACAGGCAACCCTTAGGCATGCCCTCTATTACAGCTTGGAGTCCACTACTCTGGCTCTTCCCACTGACCCCCTAACCCATTGCTCACCCATTTCTAGCATCTGTGGCCCCTGCCTGCCAGAACCCATCCCACTCTCTGGACTACCCCCTTGGGGTCCACCTACTCTCCCATCAGGGGCTTCAGGGGCACAGGGCATGTGATAAGGTGTGACATCGGAGACAGGCCAGAGTTGGGTGCAGTGGGGAAGCTGAGCTCACCCACCATGGCCATCTTGTCATCACAAAGAGAAAGGAACCCCAGGATGAAGAAATTTCTGAAGATGGAGCCAACAGAGCTTCTATTCTGGAAGGCAGCACATGCTGCACTTTCCCAGCAGAAGCCATTCTGAGCTGATTTCTGCCATTCACACACCAAGGTGATGATGGACACATGCCCTATCTTATGAGGATGGGTTGCAACCTGACTTTCTGAGACAGGGCTTGTCCAGGCCAGCCCAGGCCAGGGTCTGCATGTGCTGAAGGATGAAGAGGCCCCACTCCTCAGCAACACGCCCAGCCACATGCACAGAGCCACCACCACACTAACACATATATGCATACTGTACTGCCCTACAGGCTCTGCAAGGCCATCTGGATACCACTCATGACACCCAGTGAAGTAGGCACCAGCATTATGCCCATCCTACAGATGAGGAACTGAGGCACAAAGAGTTTACATGTCTGTCTAAGGAACTACAGCCAAGCTGGGGCACAGATGCAACTCTCTGGCTAGAGTCTGTGTCATAAGCAGCACCCCACAGAAGCCATACTTGTCCCAGGGCCCCTGAGCCCCAAGCACCAGTCAGGCACCAGCCTGCCTCCCTGGGACCAAGCCTAACACAGCAAGGCCATCGGGAATGTTGTAAACTGAGTGGAGTCAGCAGGCTGGATGGGAACTGGCTCAGAGGTAGCAGCACCCCCAGCAAGCCCCGCAGCCCTGGCACCCTCCATGTCCCCCATGCCCACAGCCCTGACATACCTTCCTTGCACTCGAGAGCCACTCGGGACTCCAGGTTGTCCATCTGGAGCTGCAGCCGCTTGAGAGTGCGGTCAGCATCGCGTGACTTGCGCTTATAGGCAATGAGCACGGCCACAATGACCAGCAACAGGAGGCCCCCACCGCCGCCAATGCCCACGATGGCAGGCAGAGTCAGCAGGCTGTCTGAGTACACCTGCAGCATGCCTGGCGAGAACTCAAAGCCACCGGCTCGCACCTGGGGTGGGAGTGGGGAGGGTACAGGCTGCTCAGGAGGTACCATGCCCACTCAGCACCCACTGGCCCCACAGCCCTCGAGTACCTGACCCTGGCCTAGAGTACTCAGTGGGAGTGTAGAGGCTGGAGACCCAGGGTAGGCAGCAGGCCCACTAGGGGGCACAAAGGCGGGGCAAGTGCCAAATTGGAGCTTGCACTGGAGCTGTGCTCCCTCTGGGCTGGAGGCCAGTCTGGGGCTCAGTCACAAAGCTGGGATGCCCGGGATGGGGCTGGGTCAGTAGGTCAAAGGCAGGAGGAACCCAGAAGACCAGAGCTGGGACCGGGACACAGATGGCCTAGCCATGGACGCACCGTAACTTTGTGTTGCCCCGTAAGATTGGGTGACTCGCAGAGCAGCTGTGTCTCTGACACAGTAAGGGCGCAGGGCGTGGAGCCGATCAGCACCGTGTAGTTGAGCCTTGAGTTGCCAGGTGCTGGTGGTAGGAGGTTCCGGCCCTGTAAGGGTGAGGGTGAGCCAGAGAGCCCCATTGGCCCCTGCTTACATCCTACCCCCACCGCACCACAACCCCACTCACACCTCCACCCAATGACTGAGGCCTACCTTGAGGATGAGCGGGGAGCTGGGCTTCAGCTCTAGGAGGCCCGTAGGGCTGAGCGGCTCCAGCACAGGGTCAGGGAAGTACAGAAAGGAGGAGGTGTTGAGGACAAGCAGAGCACGCACGTCATCCATGACAAAGCCCAGCTCGTCAGGCCGCTCCCCCAGCTCAGGTGGGCTGCGGGTGGGGTTGTCCACTGAAGGAGCCCGGCACACCATGGTGGTGTCGTTGTACACCTGGCAGCTCTGGGGACACAGATTCGAAGACGCTGGGCCGACTGCTCCTTGCATGGAGTCAGGCCCCTTGAGGGGCTACAGCCAAGCATGCATACCCAGCAGCCAGAGCTGGCTTCCTTCCCCAGGGCCTCCAAGCACAGCCACAGCTTTGGTGGCTTGAGCTGCATAGGAAGGGGGAGGGGGAGTGGTGGGCAGGCGAGGACTCACATTCTCCCTCTCAACGCCTCCATACTTGGCCCGGATTCGGGGTTCTCGGACGGTGGCCAGGTTGGTTCCTGTGACTGTTAGGAGGGTCCCTCCACTAGAAGATGAGGGGGTGGGAGGTCATGGAGCGAAGATCTGCCCCAGCCCGGCACAAACAGGTGGGGCCAGAAATGCCACCCGGCTTCCCAGAAGATGAAAGCAGGTTACGATCGCTCAGCCCCGAAACTCTGATTGCAGCAACCACATCTCAAAGTAGACAGGGATCCATCATCCTGAGAGCTGTGGGCTTGGATATCTTCGTTCATTTTTAAGAGTGCAGCACCACAGAGCTTAGAAGAATTTTTGTTTAACGTGATTTTCCAGGTTGCTGCAACCAGAGCACAGCAGTGACCACACCCTTAAACTCGGCTGTTTCTACTCCCACCCTCAGAGACAGACCTGGGCAGTAAAGGGAGGGTTTGGCCACCCCCTGCCCAGCCATGAACCAGGTACCACCAACAAAAATTCAACTGGTTTCTCCAAACAGACAAAAACTTGGTGGTGGGACCACACAATGAAGGAGGAAGAGGAGAGCCCAGTGTAGGAGCTCTGCCCTCGGCAACGTCACATGGGACAGAGGGGATCACTGGGGCTCAGGGCAGGTTGGGGCGGCCCCACCTGTTGATGCTCCACTCAGGGTCAATCTTCAGGATGGTAGGGTCCTCAGTATAGTTGTACTTCACCTCAGGGTTGGTGAGCTGAGCACGGTTGATGTTGATGATGATGGGGGCACTACCAGGGCTCTGTCCAGGGGGTGTCAGACACCGGATCTCCCGGGAATTCCTCCTGGAGGGGCCAGGTGGGACAGTGAGGATGCGGGTGCTGGAATTCACCTCCCAGGTGGACTAAACATCTAGGCTCCATCGTAAACAGGTGTATGGGCAAGCTACTCCCCAGGCCCGCCCACCTGTAAAACAGGGCTGCACCAGGACCTGCCGCCATGTGGCTAATGACTGTTATGGTCACTTTTCCATGAGCCCCTCCAAGGGGCCAGGTGGGCATCTGCCACCTTGGGCCCCAGGCTGGCACTCTCCTTCCACACTGCCCTGCTTGGGATTCAAGGCCCTGACTGACCCACCAGCAGAGGGCTGGACCCTGACTGCCACGTTCACTCCCCAGGTGACCTAGCCAGCAAGTATGCCCATGCCCAGGCTTGCTTGAGCCCAGCCTGGGCGGGCACCACGAGTAGGCCTGCTGGGTGGGAAGGGAGCTCACAGGGGTCTCAGCACAGCCTTGCAACAGCCTGGTCAGTTGCCCAGGGATGGCTGGCGGGACAGAGCCTTTGAGACCTTGATCTTCCCACCTGCTGTGGCACTGCTTCCACTCAGCCTGTGGTTTCCAGAGCTGGGAGAGCCAGAACACCAAGCTCACTGCCAACTCTGGCTACGCTGAGTGATGCACATGCCTCCCCCTCTATGTTGTCCCCTGATGTGAAATTGGGGCTAAGCCCAGGCCTGTGCTATGAGTAGGCAAAATGAGCTAGCCAGAGTGGCGGGACTGGGTCATCCCCAATGGGCAGCCAGCCAGTCACTGCCTGCACCTGGGTCCCCATTCCCTCAGCTCCTTCAGTATAGCTGTGAGGCCCTGCAGCCACCAGGCCAGCAAGCGCAGCAAGGCTGCAAACACCAATAATTAGTCTGATAACGCATAATTACCACACGAAAATATTTAAAGGGCCGCTCCATTATCATCCCTAATCTAAAATTATCTACTTCATGCCTCAGGGTTTTAAGATTTCCTTTCTCTCTCTTAAAAGTTTTTAAAAAATACTTATTATGTTCCCAAAAGATCCCTCCACCCCAGGACAAGGTGGTTGAGCCCAATCCTTGGGTCCGGGTCCTACCCACCTGCCTGCCCTACCCGCCTGCCCTTCCCCCTCAGAGGTAGTCTATCTTGATGATAATCTTCTCCGCCTCTGGTTTCCATAGTGATCACCCTGGCCAGGCTCTCCACACTCCCCTTGTTTCCCAGGCAACAAGAGGGGACATGCAGCCATCTGAACCAACCACCACCAGGGAAAGGTAGGCCACTCATGGGCCCCCTCTCCCCATTCATGTTCCTTACCAGGAAAAGGAGCAGGGCCGGCCACCAACAGACACAGCCACATCACTGCCTGCATTCAGGTGGCTGCCCTCGATGCCAATCCAGGTGCCCCCTGAAAGAGGCCCCCGGGCAGGGCTCACACGGTAGAAGGTTGGAGTCTACGGGAAGAAGGAACTTGCTGGAGCCCAGGAAAGACCTACCTGCCCCTTGGGCCAGAGGCCTGTTTGCATCTCCAGCTGTGCCCAGGCCTTGTGCTCACTGGCTCTCACACATGGCCCATAGGCAGGCCCCCAAAGACAAGAAGGAAGGGGAGGGGAGACCAGAAGCAGAGGTGTTACTGCACAGTGGGGCCCACAGGAGAATAAGAAGCCCCTCACTTGAGGTGGCCGTTAAGCAAGGCCAGCCCCTACAGATAGGCCTCACAGCTCCCTTAGGCCACCCAAGAGGAAAGGGCTCCGGGCCAAGAGGAGTGAGGCTTACCACAAATGTGAAGCGCTTGGGTGACAGGGCCCGGAAGTGGGGGGAGCAGTCCCGCACGCACACCTCTACCAGGGCATCGTGGGCCCGCACCGTGCTAGCATCCCCGATCTCACAGACGATCCTGCGGGGAACCAGGGGCCTCAATAGGCTGCAGGGTCCAGCCAGGTGTTAGGGCCTCCCCCACCCACCCTCGGCAGCACTCACTGCTCAGCACTGATGTACTCGCTCTCCACGGGGCTGCACAGCACCTTTCCCACACGCACACCCAGCCGCACGTCCTCGAAGCGCAGGCCCAGGTTCTCACCCATGATGGTGAGCCGTGTCCCTCCCTGCCGAGGGCCCGTCTCAGGGGACAGCTGCAGGGAGACGGAGGCTGGCAAAGGCCATCCCTGGCCAGGAAGGGCTACGAAGGGGAGGTAGCTGGGCAGTCAGAGCCACTCCCTCCCCTAGTGGCCCAGGAGATCCACCTACCTTAAGGATCTTAGGGTCTGCACAGCGGCTGCTGCCATGGTGGGCATGCATCCAGGAGGCAGGGGAGTCAGCAGGGCAGTGAGGGCGCAGGGAGCAGCGGCGCTCAGCCACGCACCAGCCGCACTCAAAGCGAGGGTCAGCTTTGAGGCAGAGGCCGCAGCTCTCCCGCAGGGCAGGACACTTGTAGAGGTGGGCTATGGGATGGGGAGAGACAGTCAGCTCAGCCCGCCCACAGCCCATCCCCGGGGGCTGCCCCACCTGGCTCACCCTGGATATTCTGAGGGTTATCGATGACAAAGTTGTTGTTCCACACCACTGACAGGTTCACAGGCAGGTCGCTGATGTCATTGCCCTCATAGGAGTACTATGGGCAGCAGACAGGGAGGTCAGACCACACAGCCCTAGGGGGCAGGTCAGGGCTTGTGTGCCCCTCTTGGCCACCTTTAGGACTGGCTGCTGGGAGCAAGCTTGGTGGGGGCAGGGTCTTGGGGCTCTGCCTGTCCAGACTGGTGTTTCCAATCTGGAGGCAGATACCCCAAAGAACAGCCTGCTTGCCAACCAACTTAAGGGACTAAGCTTCTCCTGTCACACCCAGCTCTCCTTCTGTGTCCCCCACCCTAGATCTTCCTTTCTGGTGGCCATGGTCCCCACTGTCGAGTCAAGCCTCTGTCCCCAGCAGCCTCATTAGTTGTACCCTCCAGGGTGACCTCCCCATTTGCCCCTGCAGTCAGCCCTACCAGGAAACCAGGACTTCCCAGCTGGATCCTTTAGACGGGTATCAGGGATGCTCTGTGAACCTCCATTTCTTTATCTGCCAAACAAGCTAAGTAATCCCCGTGCTGGGACTGCCCTGAGATGTGAGCTGTGTGAGCCCATGCCGGGCTGGGCTCAGAGACACTACCCTCCCTAGGAGCCCAGGACCAGCACTCCCAACTGTGCAGTCGAGGCCCTCCATTCCATCCCAGAGCAATTCATCATTATTCCACTTGCAGGAATTTAATTGGCTCCTATCACATTCTGATACTCCCTTTCCCTTTAAATGATAATTGTGGGCCCGGTAAGAGGGGAGGGCGGGAGGGGGCTAAGAGTGCAGAGAAAGGTGAAAGAGGCTTTGGGAATGGTAGAGAAATAAGGACGGAGAACGAGAGTGACAGACAGAAGCCAGAATGATTCAAGTGGAAGGCATGGCTAACAGAATCAGCGACACAGCGAGGACGAGAGAGAACTGAAAGCATGGGACAGGCAGGAAAGCGCAGGAAACTATAGGGCCAGTCAGCTGGCTGAACTGCCCCTGGGAGCTTGCTGTGGCCCCTGGACCCTAGCCCATCTTGCTAGGAAAGAGGAGAGGTGGGCCAAGGGGCTGCCACCACTGGCATTGGGCTAGACCCCTGACCTCAAGGCCTTTCCCCTGGGATTCTGGGGGTGGGGGCCAAACACAGGCCTTACAGAGGCACCACCAACCAATAGGGCCTTGGCCATACCAGGAAACCCACTGGTCTCCTGACTACATTCTTCCTGAACAGATGGGGAAACCAAGGCCTGCCAGAGATCACAGAGAAAGCCAGAAGAGGGCCTCAAGACCACCAACTCGGCACCATTACCCCACCCACCAGGGAAGGTTTTGGCTCTGCAAAGATTACTTTTGCTAAATTCACTGGAATTAACAAAAAGCTTTGAAAATGTCATCTTATTAGATTTAAGGCTCCAAATGTGGCTGCTTCTTGGTACTCGGGCAACACCCGCCTGCTAGATTGCAAACACACAGGTTGCTATGAGCAGTTTCTGCGTCTAGCCACAGAAAAATATAAAAAGATGAGTAACAGGGCACTGTTGCCCTGACCTTGGCCCTCCTAGAATCATTGGATGATGATGGCACATGGGCGTTTCCACATACCTCAACCTGGCCTCCTCACGCATGTCCCAAAGACCCCTCGCAAAGTCACATCTACAAATCCCACCACATCTAAGTTGCCCACTCCCACATCTGAGATGTGCTCCCTCCAAAGGTCTGAGTGGCTCTTGGCAGGGCCCCACCTGCACAACCAGGCACACCTGAGGGGTGTGGCACTTATAGTTAGTTCCCTGCACTTACCTGGGGAGCCCGATGTGCCTCTGAACACCTGCCTGCGTCCTGTGCTTTTGCTCATGAGCAGAAACCAGATCCTAAGGCTGTGAGGGTAGCCAGCCCAGTCTAGCAGAAGGGGTTCCCAGAAGCCCCCTGGTGGCTCCAACCTGCCTTACCGAAGAGTTCTGGCACTGCAGGCTGGAGCTGTTGAAGCGCAGGGCGGTGACGCGGGCTGGGCTTCCTGGGATGTGGAAGAGGCACTCATAGCCACGCTGGCCTGACTGTGGCTGCGGCAGGTTCCGGGCAGCCAGAGTGATGGGCTTCACCACACCCACTGGCACATAGATCTGGGTGGAGGGCAGGATCTGTGGGCAGTCCTAGAGGCGACAAGGCTTCATTTGAGCCCAGAGTTAGGGGCCGGTGAGCAGGGCGTACTCCACTGCGACCCAGGCTGCAATCTGGGCCCGCAGCCTGTGCTTTGGTACAAGCAACACTGTGCCCACTTTACACGCTGACAGACTGAGGACCTCAGAAAGAGCCAGCTGGGCTAGAGGCAAAAAGCCTGGGTTCTGCACTCCACCAGTCTGTGTGGCTGCATTCTGTGCCCTGGGACAGGCCCTATCCCCTCTGGGCCCAGAGTGCCCTGCCTAGTGTTCTAGGATCCCACAGATAGTCACCAAAGGGCTCCATCTGGCTCACAGCTGCAAAGGCCCTTAAGAAAAAAAAAAAAAAAGCAGCCAAGAGTGAGGCATAGGGGCTGTAAACTCAGCTGGGGACCCAGAGAGCATATAAAAATAGCCAGAGCCAGGCAGAAAAACAATCAGGCCCCCAGGGCCAGCATTTCAACAATAACTGATGCAACACCCCAGCTCCCTTGCAGCACACTGGCAACAGCCAAGGGAGGAAACAGCCCCATGGGCATGCCACTGAGCTGGGCTTTAAATAGAGATACTGAAAACAGGCCGTACTCCCCAAGGCCTGCAACAGCTCCCAATGCAGCACGGGCCTGGGCTTGGCTCTGGCTCTGAGGTTTTGGGGCCGAAGGAGGGAGCCCAGAGTTGGGTCTGACCCTTTGGGGATCACTGATGAGGCAGAGCTGGCAGGGCATGGCCCGCCAGCTTACCCTGGGTCCGCAGGATGCCCCCATTTCCACCAGGGAGAGGCAGGTGCTGGTGACGTGTATGGAGGGCCGCTGGCCCTGCACTCAGGGGCCCTTACCTACACCAGGACTCCCCTAGCCATTTGAAGGGATGCCTTGCCCAGGCCCCAAGCCCAGGGATCCTGAGGGATCCTCCAGTTGCCTCCCAGACTTTGGCTGCCCTTCCTGGGCTCCCTAGCAGCCCTGGCTCATTGTGGTCATCAGGACTGGTCTCACTGCCCTTGACTTCACACCTCTCCTCTGCATACACACTATCTCAGCTGCCTGGGAGGTCAGCACCACTGTCAGCCTTGGGGTGTAGGCTCTGTGTCCTGCTGACTAGTCTCTCTGTGGCTTAGTCTTGGCATTTGGGTGCCCCAGCCATGAAAACGGGTTGGCTCAGGGCTCTGACATTTCTTTCAGGCCGTGAGTGGCCGGAGAGCAGGCTGAGCTGGAAGAAAGATGAGCAATGTGGGCTCTTCTTTGAGGGGACCCACCTCCCCACATTCAAAGGGCTCTCAGTCTGGAAACTGGCTCAAGTCTGAGAAGTGAGTAAGGGACCACAACTCTGTTTATATGATTCAAGTTAGATCTTTATTCGCTTGATCTAGAACTCTTCCGCTTACGCAGATCAAGTAAGAATTTAGAAAACAGCCCTACTATTCCACTTCCAGGGACACCATGACCAAGGCCAGTCCTTCCTGGTAAGGAGGCCGCCGGGAGGAAAAGCACATGACTCTCTCATGGAAATGCCAGCCATCTCTTTCATTCCTGGAGAGGGCAGACCCAGCGTTCCTCGCAGAAAGTCCTGGCTGTTGGGTTCAGGCCACCTCAGAGTGAGTGCAACTCTGCTTCAGGGGCGCTCCCCGTGGGACTTCTGCTAGATCGTCCACCCAGCACTAGCTGCCTCTTCAATGCCCTTCCCTAACAGGCTCTGGTAGTTTCCACCTCAAACAACCCAAGCAAATATGAGAGACCAAGGACAAGGCAAGGAGTAGGGTTCTTGGGAACTCTTTCTCATGGCGTAGGGAATAAAGACACCATGGAGTGAGTAAGCTCCTGAGTGAAAGGTGGCTCCAGAGGAGTCAAACCAGAACCAGAGATGGTAAGGGGGGCCTGGGCTGGGAGCCAGAGTCCTTTCAAACAACGAAATTGGTTAAGTCTACGGATATGTTACACTCCCTAGATATGTCCCCATAAAATCTGGGACTATAGCTTAAGAGGAAGCATCTGTGGAATATATCCATTAGCCAATAACCCTCCCTGGACCCCATGATCGCGCCCAGCCCTACATGGGCAAACTCCTCAGGAAGGGTCTGCACTTGCTGCTCCACTTCTCCTGGCTGTCACAGCCCACAACAGCCCTTCGGAGGTCCCCAAAATCCCAGGGTCACTGCCCACCTCCAGGACACCTTTACTCAGCTCCTCACGCAGGTCACACTCTCAAAGAAGCCCACTGCCCACCCCCTATGCTGCAGGCTCTCACACCACCCACTCTCACGCTGTCACCCCTGGATGCCCATGGTCCCCGCCTGCTCTCAGCCTGCCCCACACTGCCATCTCGTCCCATGATGTGCTACAAAGGTCCAGAGGGTGATGGTGGGGGTGTTCAAGGGAGGCTGTGAGAAGAGGGGCCCATAGCATGGAGGCGGGGGCAGTGGATACTATATTTCCTCTGCTCCATACCTGTCCACAGAAGTCCAGACCATCTAAAGCCCCCAAGTGCCCCATAGCCAGGGGGACCCACACATGCCCTGTCCCAAAAGGCATGGTATCACTGCAAAGGAAAGGGCCCTGGTTTCAAGTCCTAGCTCTTTACCTCCAAGATGGACATGGGGACCCATGCCTATCCCCTCCCTACCTGGCAGGTCCCAGGTCAGCCCATACGGGTTGACTCTAAATAAAATCAGTGCCTTCCCTAGGCTCCAAATAATTATGACTTAATCACTATCAGTTACCACGCAGGACCTCAGATGGCTCCAGAAACTGACCAATTGCCCTGCAGGTCAGTCTAACATGTTCCCTTATCCCTATGGACTCAGCACCAGGCCTGCCCAACCAGACACCTCACGCCCCAGGCTCACATCACCCTGTGTGGACAGTAGCCTCCCCACATCATCCCCCAGGGAGGCCCATTGGTCTGCAGCCCCCAATCAGAGGCCTAGAGGCAGGGCTTAGTCTGAGGCTTCTCCATCTCCTCCAAAGGTCACAAAAGAGACCTAGTGAACACCAACAAATGCCATTGGCTGGCCGCAGGCCAAGACAGCCCTGAAGGATGTCCCCAACCTTACACACTTCTTGGCTGGCATCCCAGTCACCCACAAGAGCTCTCCCAGGCCGACCTGTGGGCGATATCCAGTTCTGCTATACCTCCAAAACCCTGCTCACCCCAGGATTGCCTTACCTCAGACACATTGACACGGCCCTCCAGGAAGGCACAGTCAGCAGCATTGTGTGTGCATACGTGGCGGTATTTGCACCAATGGCAGGGGAAAGAGCCATTGACACACGACAGGCAGCTGCAGGGAA